AATGCCGTGTCCCGTTCAGACAAACGCTGTGGCAAGGAGCGCTCAGGTTAGTTCTGCTCCATGCCAGAGCACGGGACAACAAGGTGAGAGCTTCAGACCCCTCGGCAAGGGCACTCCATGGCCATGCACTGACAGCCAGCGCACACCTTGACTTACCCTCCTCTGAGTCCTTCTCCTGGGCAGTCTCAGCCTGCTCGTGCTCAGGGCGAGACACTGGTGGGCAGAGAAGCAGAGCGTGGGCAGATCTGTCATTCTGTCACCTCAGAGCACAGGCCAGCACGCTGATGCCCAGAATTTCACACATTGCCTCCATCTCCCCCGAGCCTCTGTCCAGGCCTTTCATCCTGCATGTGCTGCTCATTTCCCTCTGCTTCCTCACACCTTTCCCCTCCCCGGAGCCCTGCCTGTAGCACCACAGCAAGTCAGCCCCCAGGACGGCTGCTCTGGGCCACACCACCACACCCCAGTCTAACCAGCACCACACTGGGAGCAACACAACATTACTGCAGCACGCAGACAGTGCTGCTTTGAGGCACATTTCAGTGCGAAGCTTGTGGCAACTGGGCTGTGTGCCCCTGCTCGGCGCACCAGGCTCTCAGCCTCCAGCCGTACAGAGGAGTCCTGCCTGGATCTGAGAGGGAGAACCTGATGTTTGGTCGTGCTCAAATCAATTCTGCTGTAACGAGAGAACCATGCGGCCCAGCTGCACTTTAACACTCCCATTCCTGTGCAAGCTGCCAATGTTCACGGTCAAAGCTTCCTTCCAGATCAGGCTGGGGAACCAAACTGACCTGACACCTAATCCCCGCTCCCCGCAGGGTTACTTCAGACAGCAGAAGTGTCTCAGGGCCTGCTCCACCCCCACCGGGCAGTGAGCTCTGCCATGCAAGGGGTTCAAAACAACAGCACCTTGTCCTTGAGCAGAGAACCGGCAGCAATGGGAGCTGTAGTCTCCATCCTGGAGCGCTCAGAGGGATGTCACTGCCTCCCTTGACCAGCTACAAACCAGTAGGAAAACTCTGCTGACCACCGCAGTCACTGGTGCGAAGGTGCTGGTGGGGCTGTCAGCGTGAGAAGCGCTGCAGCAGCACTGCCTGCAGGATCTACCGCCTGCTCCAGCCCCTCGGCACCCCTGCACAGTGGGGACGGAGGCAGCATGGCTGCACCGCAGCCCCAGGGAAGGCAGGAGCCCCCCCACATCAGAAGGTGTGGAGCGTCCGGCCTTACCAGAGAGACACAGCACACCTCCCACACAAGAGAAGGCACGATGCTGTGCTCTCTGCACTGTGCGGCTTCGCATCGGGAACTGCAGCCTGCTGTTCCAGCACAGGCCTCAGCAAATGCTCATTTACCTCACCCTGTAAACAAACCTGTGATTTTGAGGTTACAACAGTCGTAATGGAGCAGGCACAGAAATCAAGCAACTTTCCAGGGCCGCGGGAACTCTCGCCTGCCTCCTGCCCGCAGGCATTCCCTGCCCCACACCGGAGCCTGCGCCTGAAGCATCGTTTTTGTCACTGGATATGCAGCAGCTACAGAGGGAGTTACTCCACGGCAACTGTTCCACTTGAGCCACACCTTGCCCTGACACAGAAGCTAAAGCACCAGCCT